ACTCGAAATGGAAGTAATCCCAACAATTATGAAACAAGAGATTCCTCGAAATCCAACTTTTCTTCGTATATGTGTGTATTGTCCATGTCATGGGAAGTGGGATAGTCCCAGCTAGACACGAGGCCAATCCAGCCTCTCTCTCTTGCTTAGTGGCTCTTCCTGCACTCCCTCTCTCTTCCTCTCCTTAAGCCTATCCAACATCCACTAAAAGTTCATACCTACTTTTCTACACTCGTTCCTCCTATTCACGACGCAAAGTGATGTTTCGGAACGGTCCATTGAGTGTCCGGTATCGGCAAAATGTGTTCAGCGAGCTCAGATTTTTGAACCTACAGACCTTTACAAGCGATTTTGTGATCTCATGGTCTCTCGTGAATGAGTCGACAGGTCTCCCCCACATATGCCTTACCACATGAGGACAAAATCTTGTAACAGCCTGATCTAGAAAGAGGGTATGCATATTCTGTAGACGAAGGAATAAATGAAGATAGTGTTAGTTTCTATTTACACATTGTTTTTATATTCCATTTCCTCGTCAGCTCACCCAACTTTTTCGCAATCTGGCAAGAAGGCTCCCTTAACCTTCTTAACTACAGTTGATATGTAATTGTCTTCTAATCCTAATGGGCTATTGTTTTGATGCAGTTTCTATGGTTTGCATATACTAAACACAGACTCCTTATTATCATAGACTCATATGGTTCGAGAAGAAATTAATATAGAAACCCGCGTGAGTGGGCTTCCCATATACATCTCTGCCTAACTGATTACCTTCTATGCTCACTAATACATCCAAAAAGGCAATTTATTCTCCTTTTTTAACTGCACGGTAAACTTTGTGTTTGCATCTATTCTATTAATTAGCTCGAGGGATTCCCCTATACTATTTTTTTCCGTGCTGCCAAACAGCAATTTATCGTCCATGCAACGAACCAATAACTCGGGAACTAGGAATGCCTCTTGAAATAGACGAACTTCCAATTGGGCCATGTAGTTATTAGCTGGAATAGGGGCTAATCAAACTCTTATAACCAAACCTCGTGTCTGCTCATACCACTTACCATTCAAGGTAAAATATGTATTGTACATTGCCAAATTGACTAATCTGATGAACCAATCCTTACCTAACTTTTTACCTTTTATAATTTCATAGTTTTGATCTAGAGTTAATTATAAAGCCTTTGTTGCCTCGTTTACCGTAATGTTAGTGCGCATAGACACTACATCGAAACTTTCCAGCAAATCTCCTCTTTCTATCATCTAATCATCAGGTAACTTAATAAAGCCGTAAGAGCTATTTACCGAAAGCATCCAAGTTTCGGAGATTTGCTTTAATTGAGTACATGTAAATCGTGATGTTCTATGCATCACGCTACCTCTTTTATTTACAATAATCTTAAGTTGGGTAAATTGTGTATGAATTTTGAGCAGACCATACACACTGGATAAGTGTGTTCCTTTGCCATTTTCCACTTCTTCACTGTTTACACACTGTTGCAGAAGACTCTTAAGTCTGACCTTAAGGCCTTCTCTCCATTTCCTAAATATAGTCTTATATGCTGTGTCATCATCTAATGCCTTTAACTTTTGCTCTACCTAATCAGTCATATCCGCAACTACTACTGCTTCTCCTTTGTCTGCTCTTAATACTAATTGCTCGTTCTCCTTCAGCTTCCTTATAATAGTCTTAACTGTCCTATGCTTAGATGATGTGTCTACATAATCATCAATTAAAGGGACAACTTGTAGTTCAATGCCACTCCTACTATCCTCTGGGAAACTATCCGTTAGACTTGTCAATTATAGCAAGATTTCCTCTTTGAAGTCCTTACCAATTGGAAAGTGAACGTTTAAACCCTTTGCTAGGACCTCCTCAGTAGAAATGTCCAATGAAATCTTGGACAGATTTTCCACTTTTTGACAACGGCTCGCCTTACCTTTCATTTTTATTAGATATGGATTGTTTCCCTCAGCTAATTCTTGTACCCAACTTTATTAGCATGTGTCTTGCTAACCTGTCGAAAAACTTTGTCATGTGACCTATCCCCTATTCTTTGGAGCTTAAGCCAGTCTTCTGAACTAAGAGGTTTGGACTAGATTTGCCCATGTCTTGTCTTAGTTCTAAATGACGAATGCAGCTCTCAAGAGGATATTTATAAACGAAAATAGGTAATGTCGTCGATGGCTTACCCTCTGGGAAGCATGTTTATGTGAAATTGAATGGGGGCATGGGGAATATTCATGTGATTGTAATCTACTGGTAGTTTTTAAAAGCCTTCATTATCAACGAATATATTCCAAATATTTGTTTTTCCCCCGAACTGAGCTCCAGGGTCCAGGGGCAAACTTCCCTTGTATTGCGATCACTTAACGACAGCCTTTTGGAAGTGTTGTTTGCACCGAGACATGCTCGAAACTACGGTCCACCGTCGAGAGGACGGCCTGTTAGGAGGCACGGTTGCGGCCAATCTACTGGCAATCCGGGGATTTATGCACTTGTGATTATGCCAGATCCAATTGGCAGGCCTCAAATCACCCCAACTGGCCTAAGGTGACCCTAGTTCCCGTGGGCAGATATACAGACATGTTTGAGGCCAGATTCACATTCAAAGATGGTCATGACTACTTATTACCATTTGCCATTCATTCATTCATTGTGCCCTCCGAGTGTGCCGAGTCGGATAGCCTCCATCATCGGATTCCACGCAGCAGAGAACACAGCCTTTTTTAGGTGGGGATCTAACCCAACTACGACTGGCCTTGGGGAACGATACAACATTTCTATCCCATTCTCGTCGTTGCTGTCCGTCAAACACTCAAGTTCTCGCTTCAACCCCTTTCGTCCGAGATCCAACATTGGCGGACTGATTTTCATAGGATTTTGTTTGTTGTGAGTGAGCATAGCAGGTCGGCCTTCAGGCCTGATGGACTGGCTGAAGACAAACGCAGCGCAACACCACTCAGGGTAGTATCGTTTCTGCCGTCTTGTCGAGTACATTGTCTGTCGCTCTCGTCTGTCATTTCAGACATATCTCATCTCATTTTGTGTTGGAATGAGGCTGAACTGATGGGGCAGCCGACTTTGGGCTACCTTCCTGGTTGTCAAGACGGTGTCGTTAGATCGGATTGCCAATATGATTGACGGAGAGAGGTGCGAGCCATAGATTAATAGAGGATTTGCGATCTTACGCAAGCTGACACGATTCTGATGCTTAATCTAGACTCGTTTGTGTTGTTCAGCCTAAAGCGGCTTGTTGTCTCTCTTGCCATCCATCCATCCATCTACTCGCTTCTGTTTAACTACCATTTTCTCATATTTTATTCATGACGTTTTATATTGCATTGATTTATCTCTCTTCATTTGTATGCGATCAAGTTAGCCAACTGCTTGCAGACATTTTGCAGATTGCCATACAAATGCCACATAACCTATCAAGTTGTGAATCCTCATTCCTCTCTAGAGGTGGGTTGACCTCATTTTGAAACCTATTCGCTTTGTCAGGGCGACCTGGTTGTTGGCACCTCGTCCTAAGTCTGCTGCTATAGTCCACGGTCCCGACTTGGCACCAAGTGCATGGTCCGAGGCCGGAAATTGCGTCAACCACTGCAGCACAAGACTTCGGACAAGATGCCTCCAACTGGGCCTCCCGGACAGCAGGATTCATTTGGCAAAATGAAGTTAAATGGGATGTATTCACCCTATTTCGTGTAAGCTGATGAAGGACTGGTAGAAGAAGAATTTTCCCACAAGTATATGAGTTGAGCTGACGTTTCCATTGCATTTCACATAGCCTTGCTTTCCCAAAAGTTGATACAAAAGGTGAATACATCTCATTACACTGATTAACTGGTAGTCTCGAAACCCTAATCTAACACGAATATAAGTAACGTAGTCGATTGCTATAGCAAATATATGTTTGCTTCATCGGCACTCCCACCAAAAAGATTATGATATAGCAAGGAGGCCTGACCTCCCTTGAAATTCACTTA